AATAGTTTTTTTTTCAGCCAGCGAGTGGCTTTCTTGTAAAAGCAATCCTAGTGTCTAATTAGCTGCAGGATTGCTTTTACAAGCAGCGGGAGATGATGCCCCCCTCCCCCGCTGCCTTCTACGGCCTTCTCGAGCAGAACCTGAGAATGCAGCTGGCGTTTCTGCCAGCTGACCATAGAGATGATTGGAGACCAGAATGGTGCCAATCATCTCTATAGTCTAAGAAATCGGAAGCTACAAGCATTTCATCACTTCAGTTTCACAGGATATAAACAGTGCCATTTGTGAATTGGGAAAGCATCTGGTCACACCGATCTTGGTTTGATTAGATAATGTAAGGGCAGAGGAGCTATCTAGAGTCTGATAGACCCCAGATTTCTCAAAAAAGAATATGACAATGCCCATTTAAGTTATAGGGGATATTTGCATTCCCTGTGATAGCATTAAAAGTGATAAAAAAAATGAAAGGGACAATGTAAAAATAATTAAAAAAATCAAAGTAACAAAAAAAAAAAAACCTCGCCCCCACGTGCAAGCGTTGACCCTGTGTCGGTATGTAAACATTGGTTGCACCATGCATGTGAGGTATTGCCGTGAACGTCAGATCAAGGGCAGTAATTCTAACACTAGACCTCTGTAAATCTAAAATAGTAGCTTGTAATGGCTTTTAAAACTTTGCCTATCGTTATTAAAAATGTATGCAGTTTGTCACCATTGCATGGGGCATGCGCAGTTTTAAATCATGTCATGTTTGGTATCTATTTACTTGGCATACCATCATCTTTTATATTTTACCAAATAATTGGCTAAATATATTGTGTTTTTGTGCATTAAAATTAAAAAAAAGTGTTTGTTTTTTTTTTTAATTTTGCATTTGAAAAATCGCGAGTATTATGTGACATAAAAAAATTGTAGCACCCACCATTTTATTCACTAGGGTGTTTGCTTTAAAAAAAATATATAATGTTTGGGGGTTTAAATTAATTTCCTAGCAAAAAAATACTGATTAGTTTTCATGTGAACAAAAAGTGGCAGAAAAGGCTTGATCTTCAGGTGATTAGAAGAGAGAATGATATGTGGCATAAACTTCTAATACTGAGCATAAAATGCCCCCCCCACTCCCCAAAATGACCCCTTTTTGGAAAGTAGACACCCCAAACATTTGCTGAAAGGCATGTTGAATCAATAGAATTTATTTTTTTACCATAAGTTCTTGGAATATGACAAAAATTATTATTTTTTTTTTCTTACACAGCATTGTCACTTAAATGATTTACTGCTCACACGTGCCATGGGTTTATGTGGAATTACTCCCCAAAATACATTCTGCTACTTCTCCCGAGTACGGGGGTAACACATGTGAGTGATGTTTTGGCAGTCTAGCCAAGTATAGGACCCCAAAATCCAATAAGTACCTTCAGGCTTTTAAAGGGCTGTATTTCCTCATTACACTTCCTGACTACCTATCACAGTTTCGGAGACCCTGAAATGCCAAGATAGCACAAAAGCCCCCCAAATGACCCCTTTTTGGAAAGTAGGCACCCGAAGGAATTTGATAAGAAGTATGGTGAGTATTATGCAGATCTTGTTTGTTGCCACAAGTTTTTGGAAAATGAAAAAAAAACAAAAACATATTTTTTCTTTTATTTTTTATATTTCGAAACCTTGTGAGGAAAAAATAAGATCTGCAAAATACTCACCATGCCTCTTTTCATTTCACTTGCATTTCATGGCCTCCAAAACTGTGATCGGTAGTGAGGAAGTGAAATGAGTTTCAAAGTGGTTATTGGATTTCAGGCTCCTGTATGTGGCTAGGCTCCCAAAAAGTCTCACAAATGTGGTATCCCCATACTCGTTAGAAGTAGCAGAATGTATTTTGGGGTGTAATTCCACATATACCCATGGCGTGTGCGAGAAATAAATAATTTAAATGACAACTTTGTGTAAAAAAAAAAAAAAAATGTTTTTGTAATTTTCCAGAAACTTACGGCAAAAAAATAAATCTTCCATGGACTCAATATGCCTCTCATCAGATAGCTTAGGTTGTCTACTTTCCGAAAAGGGGTCATTTGGGAGTGTTTGTACTGTCCTGGTATTTTAGCACCTCAAGAAATTTGATAAGCAGTCAGAAAGTAAAAGCTGTGTAAATTCCATTATCTATACCATAGGTTATAGACGCTATAAGTTTCACACAAAGCAATAAATATACACTTATTGGGATTTTTTAACCAAAAACATGTAGCCGAAAACATTTTGGCCTAAATTTATTACAAAATTTTAGTTTTTTTGAATATTTTTTATGACTGAAATGAGAAAATATTGTTTTTGTCAAAAACATTTTTTTTCTTCAAAACTTTTTTGTTTATAGCGCCAAAAATAAAAAGCGCACAGGTGATCAAATGCCACCAAAAGAAAGCTCTAGTTGTGTGAAAAAAATGACATACATTTCATTTATGTACCGTATTGCATGACCACGCAATTGTCTGTTAAACTAGTGCAGCGCTGTATAGCAAAATAATGGCGTAAATTGCAGTATCTATACCATAGTTTGTAGATGCTATAACTTTCACACAAAGCAATTTAGGATTTTGTTTAAAAAAAACATGTAGCAGAATACATTTTGGCCTAAATTTATAACTAACTTTGAGTTTACTATATATTTTTCATAGCCGAAAGTAAAAAATATTGTTTTTCTTCAAAATTTTCGGTCTTTTTTTTGTTCATAGCATGAAAAATAAAAAGTGCACAGGAGATCAAAAACCACCGAAAGAAAGCTCTATTTGTGTGAAAAAAAGGACGTAAATTTTGTTTGGGTACAGAATTGCATGACCACGCAATTATCAGTTGAATTAGTGCAGCGCCAAGTAGCAAAAGAGGCTTGGTCATTAAGGGGGGTAAATCCTCTAGAGGGCAAGTGGTTAATGACTCAAGCCTGTTAAGACTTTTCCAGTGCATTCCCAATTTCAAACTGTCACTGTCACTTGGTTGACAGGAAGGCACAATATCTGGAGCATGGCAGAGGGATTTCCTTAGTAGCCAATGTTTAGTTTTCGGTCAGTGGTCTGTTAACCCCGAGGTCTGAGACCTCCGTCACAGGTGATGAATGCTGGACATTGACCTCCTGGCTTCCAGGTTCAACAACAAACTAAACCGTTTGCCTTTAAATTATTATATTATTATTATTATACAGGATTTTTAAATCCAAGGATCCTCTAGACCAGGGGTGGGCAACTGTGGCCCTCCAGCTGTTGGTGAACTACAAGTCCCATCATGCCTCTGCCTTTGGGAGTCATGCTTGTAACTGTCAGTTTTGCAATGCCTCATGGGACTTGTAGTTCTAGAACAGCTGGAGTTGCCCACCCCTGCTCTAGACTTTGCAGTAGATGCTAAGGTGACTCCCAGGGATTGGTTCATTCTGATCCATGCCTTTCCCTCTGAATCTTCTGTCCCAACAACCAATTTACAACCCTGCTTATCAGCCACTGGTTTTAACGGCCTGGCTGTATAATCTTAGGAGCTAATGGGCAAGGCTTGTCGATCTTAGTTATCGGTATGCTTATGAAAGCTAGGAAATCAATTTTTCTCAATGTCTATCATCACACATGATTAAAACTTCCAGGCCTCAGTATTTACCTCTTAAATGCTAATACTGGAGCCACTTGTGGATGAGTAAAGTGCATAAGGTCGAACCTATAGGCAGGACATAATACTTAAAGGAAAAGTACAAGAAAAAAAGTTGGTTTGAATTCTTTTAATTACATTTTTAGCATATCTATTACCATATGATCATTCTGACACTTTAGTATTGTTTCTCAATGCACTGTTTAATTGGTGTGACAAATGAGGTTTAATGTTGATAAGTGTAAAGTTGTTATGCACTTGGGGGCTAAAAATGTGCATGCGTCATACATACCAGGGGGAGTACAACTGGGGAATCAATGGTGGAGAAAGATCTGGGTGTTCTGGTGGATCATAAGCTTAATAATGGCAAGCAATGACAAACTGCAGTTTCCAAAGCAAGAAAAATCCTTTTTTGTATTAAAAGAGGGACATAATTGTCCCATAACAAGTGAAAGACATAATTTTGCCCCTGTACAAATCATTAGTAGAAGCTCATCTGGAATACACTGTTCAGTTTTGGGCACCAATTCACGAAAAGGATATCAGGGAACTGGAGAGAGTGCAGAGAAGGGCAACCAAGCTGATAAGAGGCATGGAGGAGCTCAGCTATGAGGAAAGATTTGAGGAACTGAATTATTCCCTCTTGAGAAGAAGAGATTAAGGGGGAATATGATCAACATGTATAAGTACATAAGTGGTTCATATAGTGAACTTGGTGTAGAGTTATTCACCTTAAGATCATCAGAGGACAAAGGTTCACTCCTTACAGCTGGAGGAAAAGAGATTTCATCTCCAAATACGGAAAGGCTTCTTCACAGTAAGAACTGTGAAAATGTGGAATAGACTTCCTCAAGAGCTGGTTCTTGCCAGCTCAGTAGATTGTTTTTTAAAAAGGCCTGGATTCTTTCCTAGATACACAAAATATAACCGGATACTAATATTTGTAAGTAAAGCCGATGTAGGGAATATCCGATTGCCTCTTGGGGAATCAGGAAGGATCTTTGTTCCCCACTGGAGAAAATTCGGTTATGCTTTATTGGGGTTTTTTTTTTTTGCCTTCCACTGGATCAACTGTGGGTATAGGATTGTGTGTATGGAGGTTTTCTGTTTGTGGGTGTTTCTTTTTTTTTTTTTTTTTTTGGTTGGTTGGTTGGTTGGTTGGTTGAATTGTATGAACTTGTGTCTTTTTTTTTTTTTTTCAACCAGATTAACTATGTTTGAAATCACCATAATATAAACTGCAATCCCAGCACAGGTAAAGTAGTAGCTGTGGAGCCTCTTATTGCAAAACAGTTCTATGGAAATTTATCATAGCATGAGAAAAATACTTAAGTGAGGTTGGGCTTCAACAATTTGCTTTCTTTTTTCTTTTTTTTCAGCTGAAAAAGCTTGTAGTGTGCTTGGCGCCTCAACAAGATGGGAGAATGGAAGTGTGATTGACTGCACAGCACAGCTGGAAAAGGACTCACAGATAAGATTTCTTAGAGGCAATATTGCAAGGTTAGTCCTGCTCATTTAAACACAAAGGTCTAATCAAGGACAGGGGCTTGGCAAACAAATATACTTATGAGAAGCTAAGCTGAGAAGATCGCAATCGCTAGAGAAGCTTTTTATGTGCTGTACTTTTAATAAAGCATTTTATTGAATAAATGCAAACATTAAAAAATGCATCATAGCTGTCCAAAGAGATATCTACAGATGGATAAAAGAAAAATCTGTGTAGCTATTTCACATTCACCAGCCCTAGTTTGAAAAAAATGATGTGCAATAATATTATAATTGGTCAGAAATCACTTTTTTAAAGAATAATTTTCAGTCATTTACATAGGTTGAATAAAAAAAGACACAAGTCCCATCTATTTCGATTAAAAAAAAATCTATAAATGAATAGAAAACCTCCACAGTCCTATATCCTATATCCTTCCTGATCCCCTAGAAGGCAATCGGATATTGCCTGTCTATGGTTTTATAACCTAAAAATATCCGGTTATATTTTGTGTATTTATCCAGCTCTTTTTTAAAACAATCTACTGAGCTGACCAGAGCTAGTTCTTGAGGGACTCTATTCCACACTTTCATAACTCTTATTGGGAAGAAGCTTTTCTGTGTGTGGAAGTTAAAGTGGGCATTCTCTTCAGCTTCCCCCTTATACTTACTTGCTTGATCTCAATCCAGTGAACATCGGCTCTCTTCTTCCCCATTGGCTCCCGCTGCTGTAAGTCACAGTCAGGAAGAGGGAGCGGGACTGAGCTACACTCTGTGTGTCATGTCAGGCAGCCTGATGAAAGAGCGCGCCTGAACTCCTCTCGTTCTGCACATGCTCAGAAACGTGTCGCATTTTGGTGATGTCAGACGCCACATGTGTTGATCCCGGACATCTTGGAGACTGCCAGGCTTCACCATCTATGCTGCATATGCACAGCACCATCTGCTGGCAGACACCTTGGAGATTCCACCAGGCTTACCATCCATGTTGCACAGCACCACCTGCTGGCGGACTCAATTGATCTCCTCTCTGGATCAGTCGCATAACATCTGGCTACAGACGTCTCATCTTTCACAGTACACACTTAGAGGCGCTAAGTGTTTCTTTGCTTCCCTTCTGCAGGGTCATTGTATTTATAAATGTTATTTTATTTATTCTCAATTCCTTTTTTTTTTTTTTCGGGGGGGGGGGCCTCGCCACAGTTCTGGCCTAGGCAGAATGTCTCTGGTCCTGCAGCCTGGGCTACTTGTATCATATCTCCCAGGAGGCTGCAGGATCAGCACACAGAGCATGCGCTGGGGGGGCATGGATTGCGTGTCATCGAAGCTGGCTGCCTGCACCCGGAACAGGCAGCCAGCTGAAGAAGACCAAGATGGCGATGTGGGACCCGTTGTATTACATCTGAATAGCAGATCGCAGCAGAAAATGTGGAAGTTTACGGTGCAGGTGATTGTGTCTTAAAAAGAACCCAGTAATACCGGCAAGAGGGGCAAAAAAAAATGGGGGGAGCTCAGTGTCACTTTAAGCAGGTCACTTTATATAGGGATAGCACTGTGTTGATGATTCAACATTTGTGGGTGGAGCTGGTTCATCCATCCTCTTTTTATGGGTGGAGGTGGTTGATTCCATTTAAAAAGGATGAATTTATGTTGTTCTTGGTGTCAAAGACTGTCCATTTTTTTGCCTTTTCAGTTCATCCTGGTGACCAGAGCACAGTTACACTATATATTACATTATACAAGCATTTCAATCTTCTCTTATGAGAGAGACCCTTTCTTACACCAGCTTTTTTAAACAAGCCTTTTGTCACACATCTTATGTAAATCATTTACATAATGAGTAACAGTCAGAATTGGCAAGAAAAGGGTACTATAAAACCACACTTGCAAAGGTATATGATTGTCTTTTTTGCTAGGTATAGAATACCTTAGAGATCTATACTTTAGCCTTAAAATCAGGTTAGTTGTAGAGAAAAGAGCTAAATGAACACAGATTTATCAGGGCTAGCTTTTTCTCTATAAGTGACCTTATGGTGACAGAGGCACTTTAAAGGCCAGGCCTGGACAACTAAAAAAAAATATCCCTTGCAATGGGGCTGTGCCAGAGTTAATTGCTCATTTTGGGTCTCCAATCTTTCTAAACAAAGGGCCAATGGTGGACGTTGATGCACATGCGAGGAATAGTGCTCCATTATTGGTGTCAGTGGGAGAAACGATTCCCCATCATTGGAAATGGGAGGAATAGAATCCCATTGTTGGCGTTAGTGGGAGGAATAGAACCTAATCAATGGTGTCAGTGCGAGGAATAGAACCTCATCGTTGGTGTCTGTGGGAGGAATAGAACCTCATCATTGGCATCAGTGGGAGGAATAGAACCTCATCATTGGCGTCAGTGAGAGGAATGGAACCTCATCGTTGGCGTCAGTGGGAGGAATAGAACCTCATCGTTGGCGTCAGTGGGAGGAATAGAACCTCATCGGTGGCATCAGTGGGAGGAATAGAACCTCATCGGTGGCGTCAGTGGGAGGAATAGAACCTCATTGTTGGCGTCAGTGGGAGGAATAGAACCTCAACGTTGGTGTTAGTGGGAGAAATAGTGTTTCTTGTATCAGTTAGTGCCCCGAGGGCCAGATAAAGGCAAGGAAAGGGCCGCATCTGGCCCCTTGGCCGCAGTTTGGAGACCACTGGTTTAGGAGAATAATAAAGATTTGATCCTGATCCTTCGCTCATCTTTGCTGCTAGACTCTGGAGCATCATCTCGCCCATGCTCCGTTCTAGGGTCCTGATGTCATCAAGACCAAAGCAAGGTCCATAGCACTACTTTGGAAGTGATGACGCCAAGGAACACCCTACTGCTGGGGTAAGGGAAGCAGAGGATCAAGTAAGACAAATTGTTTTTCATCTCCCTTATTCAAACTAAGCTAATTAAATATTGAACCCTTGCAGTGTAGACACACCCCCACGGCAATGGATCATTTTTTTTTTTAGTTGCCCAGAGTTTGGCTTTAAGGCTGGTAAGACTCTCAACCTTTCTCTGGGTGTTAGTGGTATTATGAATGATGAATTTGATGATGAATTACAGTATCCCCTTTCATATACAGATTTGATGTAGGTGCTATTTGATTGCCCCATCTGCCCATCAAAAAAGTGGAGTTGCCAAAATTAAAGCAAAGGTGCCATAATAGAGCAATAATGTTTTTTAGATTTTAGTTTAATGTTAGATTCATTATATCTACAACTAGCAGTGTAACTCAGTTTAAATATTAGGCGATGTTCAACATTCATTTTTGTTAACTCTGATGTTGTCCTTAGCATTATTTATTTACATCTTAAGGTGTTACTAAACCCATGACCCTGCATTCACTATATCTGGTCTCCCACAGTACGCAAAACATGTAAATGCAATTCTTTTAGTAAATATAAACTGCTAAATACCTTTTCTCCTCAACAGTTAGAGCCGTCTTGGGACGTCTATTAGTGTTCTGTAGAACACTGTTTAAAGCTTGTAGGAGGAGTTTTCATTCTCCCCTGATCAGGATCAAACATCCTTTTTACACAATGCATAGGATTAACCCCTTAGGTTCCACAGTGAGTATAACAAGCAAGTTTTTACTGCATATGCAGACTGATATTACTGTTTTGGGTTTAGTAACACTTTAATGGAATCTTTAGATTTTTTGTGCTGATGAACTTGTCCCTTACAGTGTGAAAAAATAATCATTGGATCCCCTGCATATTTTGTAAGTTTACCCCCTATCATTTTTATCAAGTGTATTTTAAATGAGACAGACAGAATATCAACAAAAATCCAGAAAAAAACACATGATACAAATGTTATAAATTGATTTGCAGTTCAGTGAGCAAAATAAGTTTTTGATCCCCAAGCAAAACATGACTTAGTACTTGGTGGAGAAACCCTTCTTGGCAAGCACAGAGGTAAGATGTTTCTTGTAGTTGGTTACCAGATTTGTGCACATCTCAGGAGGGATTTTGGTCCACTCTTTTTTTACTGATCGTCTCTAAATCTTTAAGATTTCTTGGCTGTTGCTTGGCAACTCGAAGTTTCAGCTCCCTCCATACATTTTCTATAGGATTAAGGTCTGGAGACTGCCTAGGCCAATTCATGACTTTAATGTGCTTCTTGAGCCACTCCTTGGTGGTATGTGTTGGGTCATTGTCATGCTGCAAGACCCACCCATGACCCATCTTCAGTGTTTTGGCTGACGGAACAAGGTTCTCATCCAAGATTTACAATACATGGCCCCGTCCTTTGGCCCCTCAATGCGGCAAAGTCGGCCTGTATGTTTGGCAGAGATCAGCCCCAAAGCATAATGTTTCCACCTCCATGCTTGACTGTAAGAATGGTGTTCTTAGGGCCATAGTCAGCATTTTTCTTCCTTCAAACATGGCGAGTCGAGTTAATGCCAAAGAGCTCAATTTTGGTCTCACCTGACCATAGCACTTTCTCCAAATCCTTCTCTGAATCATTTAGATGTTCATTGGCAGACTTCAGAGGGGCCTGCACATGTACCTTCCTGAGGAGGGGGATCTTGCGGGAGCTGCAGGATTTCAATCCATGGTGGTGTATTGTGTTACCAATGGTTTGTTTGGCAGTTGCCTTGAGATCATTAACAAGCTCCTCCTGTGTAGTTCTGGGCTGATCCCTCACTTTTCTCATGATCATCCTTACGCCATGAGGTGAAATCTTGCATGGAGATCCAGACCAAGAGCGATTGATGGTTATTTAGTATTTCTTTTTTCTTTTTTGCAAGTAGTCGCTCCAACAGTTGTCTCCTTCTCATCAAGCTTCTTGCTGATGGTCTTGTGGCTCGTTCCAGCCTTGTGCAGGTCTACAATCTTGTCCCTGATGTTCTTTGACAGCTCTTTGGTCTTGCCCATTGTGGTACCTGTGGACAGGTATCTTTTATACACATAAAGAGTTGTTGTTAGGAGCACTTTCTTAAATTGACAGGACTAATCTGTGTACCATATGAGCCAATCTGTGGAAGCCAGAATTATTGTTTGGTTGGTGGGAGATCAAATACTTATTTTACTCACTGAACTGCAACTCAATTTATAACATTTGTATCGTGTTTTTTTCTGGATTTTTGGTTGATATGCTGTCTCTATCATTTAAAATACACCTATGATAACATTTGTGGACCCTTCATTTCCTTGTAAGTGGGTAAACTTGCAAAATCTGCAAGGGATCAAATAATTATTTTCCCCATTGTATACCGCTGGGGTTTTCTTGTTTTTTGTATCATTTGGTGATTCTTTGTATGCATGTCCTGTTGTTTTTCATACACCTGTAAAGCACAGCAGAGTATATTAGTGCTTATAAGAAATAATGATCTTTGTTCTGCAGGTTGTGTAGTGAAGGAGATTCTTGCCTATTATATTATTCAACTGACAATTCCAGAATATACCATAAGGAGGAGGCAAAGTTTATTGAAGTAGATGCTGAGGTAATGTATATAATTGTATGATGTCTTTAATCTCAGACTGACAATAATAATTCCATCACATATTATGCACTACTGCAACAAGCAGGTCACTTCATTTAGCAAATCACTATTTTAATTCAGTATTTTATTTTTGTTGTGTTCGTTGCCATTGTAATGTTTACCTTGAGGCATTTCTGAATTGATGTACCATATTTAATTTTTTATTAAATACACACATTTGTAGATTAGTGAGTAGAGCCAGATTTATACTTTATTTTAGCAGCCAGCCTCCTTGATTGGCAGTGGTTGAAATTAAAGAAAACCTTTACTGAGGGAATTAGGCTTTCATTACTTACCACACCTCCTGAAAATGGAACTTGGCTTTTAAGGCAAAGCAATATAACTGGATTGTACAGTATAGGGCACAGGCTGAGTATTCATAGACTCTGGATCATAGACTGGTACCTTCAGGTGACTGGACACTGACAAAGCTTTTAAGGACACGTCCCCCCTATAACACTCCCCCACTTCATGAGTTGTCCATTTTTTACTAGTTTTCCAAAACCAGGAGAAAGGGTGCCATACTTCCCATGCAGGGGTCTCTGCATTCCATGTTCACAGCAAAATGCACCTTCACCTGTGTAAACAGAAATCCTTGCACCAGCCCTGCTGAGTCAGATCCCAATACACCCACCTTGGATAAGGCAGAATTAGAAGAGAATAAAGAGGAATCGGAGGCAGTGTAAGAGGAGGCCTCAAAGCCTGGTCAGCTAAAGCTGCCTGTAAAAGTTGCCGCTTCGATAAGGCTTTTGACAGGTTCATAAGAGTCCTCAAAATGCAGTGCACCTTGACGCTCTGCCTAGCCCTATCCTCTGCCTAAGCCCTATCCCCTCCAATGAAGAGTAGGGAGGCGTCTGCTGCAGTTTGCCTCTGTCTGGGTCACAAATGTCTCAGACCTGTGGGTTTAAGTTGGAGGTTTCAAAGGGGTACAAAATAGAATTCAAAACCCTGCCCGCTCACTTCTCAAATCAACCAGAACTGCCCAAGGACAGTCAAATTTGCAGAATGCCCTGAACTATCTTTTGTCCCGGGGAGTAGTTCTGCCAGCATACCTCCAAGACCGGTTCAAAGGTACTAAAGCCCAGTGGGGCTATTCATCCTACCCTGGATCTAAAATCCCTAATGAAATTTCTTCAAATTCCAAAGTTTCTACCTTTGCTTGCCGCTGTGCTAGCCTTACTGTGCTCTTAAAGTATATTTCTCTTGTTGGATATCTAGAAGACCTTCCGTTAAGGGGACAGAGTCGGCACAGGTTCTGGTGGATAGTGTAGCCCAAACCAGACCAGACCAGAGGTTCAGCTGGATCCTGAAGCTTCAGAAATCAACACTGTAATCTCTTTTCCATCATTTAGAATATCTAGGTCTAATTCTAGGTACAGCTCAAGCCACAGTTTTATTTCCTAGCAGATGTTTTAAATGTCTGCTCCCAGACTCTTCTCTTCTGCATGAAAGTCTTGGGGCTGATTGTTGCCTGCTTTGAGGCAGTCTCATTTGCTCAGTTCCCCTCCATACTCTTAAAACTCAACATACTGTTGTTGAACAAGTTAGCCCAGTCACTGGACAGACTGATTTGTCTGGCATTGGAAGACTAACTTATCCCTGGATTGGTGGCTCAGGTAACCTGCCCTGGAGTTTATCTTTCCCTCCGATCTCCTGGAAGATCATGACAACAGATGCCAGCCTTTCGAGCTGGTGAGTCCTGGGCACCAATCAACATTTTTACAAATTTAAAAATTTGTTTGTCCCTGCAATCCTGAGCATTCCAGTTGGAGGATCATCTGATCCAGATTCAGTTGGGCATACCATGACAATGGCATACATCAGGAAGTCCCGCCATAGCAAGGGTGGTAGAGCGGATCCTGCCTTGGGCAGAACTTCATGTTTCAGCCTTGTCTGCTGTTTACATGCTAGGCATGAACCAGTGGCAGGCATACCTAGATGGCAGTGCTTACACCAGGGATGGTACCAACTAGGGATGCACCGATAGGAGCGTATGAGTACCAATACATTTGGTCAAGTACTCGCCGATACCGATCACTGATACTTTGCGGTGCGATTTGCATCTATACAGAAAGAATAGCATTTGATTTTAACAGGAATGCAATACACAGGAGCGGTGCAGGGAGGTTTCCCGCAGCGGAGAGTGAGAAGATGGGCATGGAGGCAGATGCTCCATATTCTCAGAGGTAGGAGAAGAAGCAGTGGGGACTTCCACTTTCTCTCCTCTCTTTGCAGGGATGATAGTTCGGGCTAAAGGGCTTTTGATTGGTCAACACCATCACATGGATGGTGTTGACCAATCAAATGCCGTCTATTCCGTACTGTCATCGCTGCAAGGAGAAGAGAGAAGGCTGCTTCACAGGTCTGGAGATTTGAAATCCCCACCGCTTCCTCTCCTATTCTAGCAGCGATGACAGTAGGGGCTAGAAGGCTTCTGATTGGTCAGCATTGTCCATGTGACAGTGCTGACCAATCAAAAGCCCTCTAGCTTAAACTGTAATCCCTGCAAGAATAGGAGAGGAAGCAGGGGGGAAACCACATTACATTCCTGTGCCAATCGCATGCTAATCTTTGCAGTACGATTTGTATTGACACAAATCAAACCGCAAAGTATCAGTTTCAGGTATTGGGGAGCACTTTCACGGGTACGAGTACTTGTGAAAATACTTGCACGCTTAGTACCAACAACTGCAGATGTTCCAGGACCTGTGTCACAGGTGGGAAACCCTGGATGTGGACATTGTGGCATTCAACAACAAATTAGAAAGGTTTGTCTCCAGACACAGGGATCGTCCAATGGAACCAGTGGATGCTCAGGTGACTCCATGGATAGAAGTGCACCCTGATCTACACCTTTCTTCCCTGAAGCTCCTTCCTTGCCTGTTTCCCAGGATCAAATTGGAGGGCTTTCCAATGATCCATATAGCCCTGGACTGGCCCACTCCAACCTGGCAAGACTCCTGGCAGACTCTCTATGAGCTCTAACAGATTGCCTATCTGTTTTTTTTTTTGTCATAATTTACCACCCTGCATTGAGGCCACAGCTTTTTGTTTTGTTAAAATGTGTAGCGTTTATTGCAAAATTAAAAAGTAAAAAACGTTTACATAGGCAACTTCGGGCCAGAAGTAAGGGTCGCAATCCATCAACGGTCCATTGACAGCTTTAATGGCATGGCTATTGAAGCCCTAGTTCTGAGGGGCAAAGGTATCTCTGAATCAGTGATTCCCATGATGGTGTATGCTAAGAAGTTGTGTACAATTTTAAGTGTAAGCTCCCCTAATGAACACCAAAAAAAAAAAGTACAATTCTATTTTGGCTAATGATGGTGATAACATAACCACACAAAACAGTTGCTAATTTTCTCTTTGAGATCCAAGGCTGCAAGTTATGGCCTGATACTTGATTGCAGCCTCATACTCGCTTGTTTTAATTATTTACCATGATTTGGTAATCATAAAGAAATTGTTAGTAGCAACAGGCATAAGTTATTAGCGTGTAATGTCCAATATTTGCACAAAGCCCACACTACTGCTGCATACTAGATCTGTGGTTTGGGGCATAAGCTTGAACCACACAAAGAATCTTCAGTAAAACGTGTTCACAAAGGGAAGGAAGTGTTGGGGCATTTCTTGGCAAGGAGAAAGTGTTTGTAGTGCAATTTTAAACCTACATTTGAAATATCAACCTGAATATGGTTGCTGTGAGAAACCCTTTCACTTTCTTCAGTTCACATATGAAACTCGAAAAGATAGGGTTTAAAATCTGACCTACATTAAAAAGTCATGTGTGTTTTAAGGAGATTTGTTGAATTCCAGTTCAATAGGAAATGCACACATAGAAATTGCTCTACATTCCAAAGGATTTTGCATTTCTGTGTCTTGTAATTTAGTTACCCCTTCCAGTCAGATCCCAGACATCTACTGTAGCATAAGCACACTTTGATTACTTCTATGTGAATGCTTTCTTGGAAAGCATGTGCTCACTGAGCTTTATTAAAGAGAAGTTGTGTTAAGCATTCACTTTATATAAATGAAAAGTCTGCTGCTCTGGTCAATTGCACCTACTAGTAAGGCGGGTTTATAGAGTACTAGTTTCTTGTTATACAACTCAAAGAATGTAAATCTGGCAATAATGTGCTAAGAGCTTTGGTTGAAATAATAGTAATTTCTTTACCATACATCACGGGAAACAGCAGGCTATTCATGACTGTTTGTTATATGGGGAATGGACACTGGGTGACCAAGAGAGGAAGTCCTCCCCTATATAACCCCTCCTACACAGGAAGTGCTGTAGTTTTTTTTGCCAGTGTCTGTAAGGTGGATGGTCACTGAATATGTGCTACATGTGCTCTGTGAGCTTACTTGGAGGTCTGGAATGGTTCTGTGGAGGATCAAGGACTTCAGTCGGATCCATTCAAAAAGCTTTTAGCCAAAATAGATGGTACCCAAGCCTCTCTGGATAGGAGAAGAATCCTCTGGTTTTGCCTGTAATGCAGCTATGTGATGCTGGACCATGTGTAATGGAATGTTGTTCAGTGTTTGTTCTGACCAAGGTGCTTTACAGCTGGGTGATGTACGGGTCCAAGGCAGTGGCCCCATATTAAGGGGACCTTGTCCTTGAAGGGCTGCGTGATAGGTCCTGCCATGATGGGTGAAGGTTGGACTCCTGTTATAATTCAGAGTCCTGGGATGGTAAGTTTACATTTGCAGTGTTTCTTTAAAAATAAATATGACTGGTTATTTCTTCCAGTGGCTACTGGCGGCAGTGTGCTGTTAGGTTTGGCCAGGCCATTCTCCTTGGGTTTCATAAGGACTGCAGTTTTCTCCTCCAGCCTCTAGAGGGCACAGCGTAGCTCTATATAGCCTACTCTTGTGCAGTAGAGGCAGGAAATTGAAGGGCTGCCATTTTTTTATGATTGAAGTCACACATTAAGGATAAGGCTCCTGTGAGAAGGCTGGGAATCACAGCAGTTTATGGCTGGATAATGTCAACCTATGGGGGAGCTGCATGACCAGACAGGACACGGGAGTTGTGTCTCCAAAATAACTTGCATCTTATCTACAGGAGCTTGGATTTAGACTGCACTGCAGCAGCAAAGTGGCTGCATTCAGACTACGTTTGATGAATAGATGCTTGGCTAGTCCTGCAAGGCTAGTATGGGGCCATTGATTTTGACAGTTTGATTAAACTATACACTTCTAGAAAGTGGAGCGGGCAGGTGCAGCATAGTATTATATTATTGCATGCATACCTGCCTAAATATTGGATTTATGCTTGCATGAACTGCATACATATGTATGCATGAGCTGCATTCTTGTACTTGCGTGAATTGCATTCTTGTACCTACGTGAACTGCATACATATGCATGCATGAACTGCATATATGTACATGCATAAACTGCATACGTACCTTCTACTTTCTACTTCCATGAACTGTATACATATACATGCATGAGCTGAATTCCTTATACATGTGCGAACTGCATTCTTGTACTTGCATGAACTGCATACTTGTACTTCATGAATGTATAATAATGCAGTTCATGCAAGTATGCAGTTCATGCAAGTACAAGAATGCAGTTCATGAATATATAATAATGCAGTTCATGCAACTGCATTCTTGTACTTGCATGAAATGCATTTTTGTGCTTGCATGAACTGCATATTTGAATGCTCTCCATACTTGAATGAATACTTACATAAACTGCATACTTCAGCAGGTCTGCAGGCTTGCATACCTGCATGATTGAGTAGCTGTAGACCATCATGGCTATGGACTGGCATCCCTGTGGGACTGCATAATTAGGTTTTGGCAAATATAGTTGCCACATCATTTACCTGTTATGATTAAAAGGTCCCAGATGAGGGAGGCAGGTGCACCACCCTCAGGTCCAGTCGACTCGTGGCTGTATTGGACTGCCACTGCATTACCCGGAAAGCACCTGATCTCGTCTGAGGATGCTAGGGCTGTCTCTGAGGTGATTCGAGACTGTTGACGCGTTCACAGGCCCAAAACCAAACAGGGACGTGAGATCTATTTAAGATCTCAAGGAACTAGACATAAATGTAAACATCTTTCTGTTTCGGATAGGGTAGGTCTGATTAGTGATGGCTTTTTTGCTAGAGATAGTTTTCGGAAGTCCATTGTCCTTAATGATGCATATCTTTGTGTGCTGATTTTTTTCAGGCCCATCAAGGGTTCTGCTTTTGCAGTTAAGCATCATCATTTTTTTGTTCTGAGGCACTGCTCTTTGGGCTGGCTACGCACCACCCAAGTGTTCACAAAGCTCCTAGCCTGGTGCTGGGTTTGATTAGGTCACAGGGGGGGTGTCAATTTTAGAATACCTTGATGTTCCTGTGCTCAGGGAGCCAAGTTTTAAAGCGAGATATAAGAAGCCTAAGGTATCCTTCAATAGGTCTGCATAGGGAAATGGTATCTACATTAAAGCAGGTTTCCTACGTACGGTTCCACTCCTGGTCTTTTGTAGAGGAACTTTCTATCTGTCTGGGTCATGAAGGCCTACACGTTGGATTGTCAGAGAGCTTTGTCCCTGAAGTATTGCAGAGTCCGAATTGGTGGTGGTTTGTTTGGAATCTGAAGAAGGGGTAATTTTCCTTCCAGTGATATGAAAGATAGTAGCCACCAATAGCAGTCTCTCTGATTGTGGTGCTGGTTTTGAGTTGGCCACAGTTCAGGGGACTTGATCTCCACAGGAAGGAAGACTGCCCATCAATATCATGGAACTTTGGGCATTACGCTTTGCTTTGGATTATTGGACTAACCACTTGCACAGGTTGTGGTCTGACAATCCCACCACAGTGGCTTATACCAACCACCAGGGCAGCAATTCAGAAAGAGGTGATTCAGAAAGAGGTGCACCACATTCTTTCTGGGGCAGAACAACATGTGCCATCTCTGTTGGCAGTACATATTTTAGGTATGGGAAACTGGCAGGGGGCTTTCCCTAGCTGTCAGTGGCTGATACCAGCAGGGTAGTCCCTGCATCCCGAGACATTCTTGGCAGTCTGGCGTTTGGGAACTCTGGACATATCCAGGTTTTACATTAAGTTTGACAGGGTGTCCAGGTCAGGAGTCCCACTGACTGCCTAGCACAGGAGGGCATGGTACACCGACATACTGTTTCTAAGGATGCTCCTTGGACACTTCTTATCCGCCCAGACCTATCCTGCTTACAATGGCTAGGATTGAAGGCTGGGCTATTGAAGCCCAGGTCTGCAAGGTTTGGGGGGGGTCATGGTTCCTGTTTTTCTGCACTGTTGATTGGCAGGAAGCTGGCTTCTGTAAATCCTATGCAAGGCTACTGTATGGGCTTTGGTTCACAAGGTTCTACCAGGTCGATGTGAGAGCCGCAGAGGGCTCTCCCTTTGGCCGCAGTGTCTTGCGAACGGCTGAGTAGGTCTTGTGGGATTGTTGGTGGTGGCTATCATGGTGTCACCCTCCTCTCAAAATTTTTTTATTGCTTTGGGACATCCCACATAGTCATGAATAGCCTGCTCTGTGCCCCGTGATGTACAATAAAGAAAATTGGATTTTTTTCTGCATACTTACCTGTAAAATGTACACAGAGGTCCCTCCCCTCTTTCTGGAATTTCATTGCTACAAAAACTGAAGTACTTCCTGTGTAGGGGGGGTTATGTAAGGGAGGACTTGCTCTCTGGTTGGTCTGCCAGTGTCCATTCACCTATAGGTGGCATATAACCCACATAGTCATGAATAGCCTGCTCTGTGTCCCATGATGTACTCCAAGAAAGGGATTTTACAGGTAGGTATGTAGAAAAAAATCTAATTTTCCAATATCTTATGGTCTAATACAGATGAGTAAATATGCAAAAATATTAAACAGTTAGCCAAAGTTCATACCAAATTAGGAAACATTTAAGATACTGGAACACCACACTGCTGTTGAATATGCTTTGTACTTGAAGTAAACTACAAAGTAGTATGTAAATTACTTTTGCTGCCTGGCTAAAATTAAACCCCTACAGGACAATTACCATTTGAATTCTAGAATGACTTAGCTTTATGTGTGGGTATTGGGTAAGGGGAATAGTTAGGGTTTTTTTTATTTTTTTGGGGTTTTTTTTTGTTTAATTCAATATGTGCAGATTCTATATCTGTATTTCATAAATTTTCCATTCTTCCTTTCCATTCTGATTTAGCATGTGGATGCCATAGATTATCTTCTGCATTCTTACCCAAATTACGTGAATGTTGACAGGCTTCCCTGTGAAACTGCCGATGACAAGGTAGACAATGTTTTTGTATTTCTTTTTAGGACATACGTTTCAGAAGTTGAGTGTTTCATGTTGGTTGGTACATTTGGTTCTTAGTAAATTTTATGTGAACTCTATACCACAGCATCTGTGACATCTGTTAGTGATGCTTAGAATGTTGGTATTTACAAATAAAATTGGGGCTGTAAAAGGATAGCTTTATGAAGATGTTGCATTTGATCTAGTACTGTAAAATATTTGAAGTCTTAAAGTAGAGCTAAAGGTAAAACTTTATTTTCATTTTGAATAGCGTAAGGGTGGATTATAACCCCTGTTAATGGGGGTTTTTTTTTGCCATTTGTGTCCCATAGAGAAGATTTCCCTTCACTTCCTGTCTTATAGCCAAAACCAGAAGTGAGAGGAAATCCCTTCAACGTGAGGGAATCCTGGGGTGTCACCCAAACTAGTGTCCTGGTAGGAAGATTTCACAGTTTTGTTGTTTTGGTATCAACCCAGAATTTTACTTTCACTTTCTATAACTGTAAACAAAACAGATAGTGGGGGTGAAACTCCCTAACTGGACACAGCAATAAAAACTGACAGTGTTCTAATTCCTCTCCACATCCAAAGCTAAAAAAAAAAAGTTTTTTTTCCTTTAGTTACACCTTAAATTCTTGGAAAGCCTAATTTAGAGATTGTACCAAAAACTGATATCTCTTTTGGGTGGAATTAGACAGGGATCATTTTTACTGGTAAAGGATAATTTACCTTTTTCAGTTCACTGTATTCAGGGTGTAACATGTAACATGTTACAAATGCACTGGGCCCCGCTGACCACCATCCATCAATCATCACTGGTGTTGCCCCTCATGATCGTGTATCGGATTCATCAGTGATGGTTAATGGAGGATTCCTGTCCTCTGCTTGCCAACCACACATTAGATTACATCACATCCCAGAGGATTGTGAGGCAGCTTACATAGTGTGTTATGCAGCAGCTATAAGATGGGAAGCAACCGATGATTAAAGAGCTTGGTCTGCCTCACAAGTGACTAAAAGATTCACGTGGGGCAGCTTCAAGAGGAGAAATAGTCAGCAGCCAGAACATGCACACAAAGTGTGGCAATAGAGGAGTCAGAAGAACAGCTGCGCAGCATTTGCGGCACAGTGGATGGAAGTGGCAGGATCAAACAGATATTTGCAAAAAAAAGTAACAGATGGAAAGCAAGCTCCTGCACACAGGTATAGTGCACAATTTAAAGAGATATACACAGAGAATTGTTTTGGGTTAAATGATGCTGTCAGATATATCCCCTCACCCTGTCCCGCTTGTCCTATGGAGTGAGCCAGGTAAATGGGGTCTGCCTTACACTTAGGCCTAGTTTACACTTGTGGTTGGAGGCCGATAAAAGTGTGGGGTTGAACTGCTGTTTTTTACTGTCATCCCCTTAAGATGCAAAGGCAGCAGACAGAGGTGTACGTATGCTGAGGTTGCGATGCTTTGCAACATGGGCATGGCAGAAGTTATTCCTGCTGTCGCGTTCTGTAAGCAGTACTGCCTTCCAAACATGGCCCATTTCACTGAATGAAATCATGTGCAATGCAAGTGTGCTGGTGCAGGTTTTAAGGGGTTAAAACAGGTATCGAGAAGGCGATATAATGCCTTTTCACCATCTGTCATTTGCTCTCTGAAAAGAGATCAATGCAGATCTGCTCTTCAGAGGGCACCTCACTTGTAAACAAGGCCTTAAAGCAAAGAGATTAATTTGGGGTGGAGTTGCTGTTTCTAATTTTGAATTATTTGTTAACCTGCTTAACCTATTACTATGTTTTCTCATTGTGCAGCTTGCCCTGACCACTATGTTATTTGAGAAAGGCCTATTGACCACCAGAGAACACATTTCTTCTGTCTTTGAAAAATGATTGACTGTTGAAGATCTGTGAAACATAGACATTTGTCAAAGACTCTCAGAGAACTGTGATGACACATTTACACTTTTATCTGACTTGTGGTAATTTTTGCCTTTGGAAACCTATAACCTCTGCAGCATACCTGGAGGAAATGAGAAGCATTTCAGATCCACTTCTAAATAAATTATTTCTTCATGGATGACCTGATATGTAACAAAGAGACATCTGCCTTGTTTTACTCGATAACTAAGAAAAAAATCATAACTAATGCTATATGAGAAAAAAGGGCATTGAAGGTCAGATTTGCTTCAGTCATTGTGCAAAATGCGATGGATTAAAGGTTGGTTGAGCAATAATGAACAAACCATTAATTAGGGTGCAAAGATAACCGCTAATGCTTCAATAATTTTTACTGGTGTACCATAGTCCTCATAAAACTCTGAATAATTTCCAGCAATGGTGGATTACCTTTCAGATATTTTCAAGTGAGACATAATTGACTAGGTAATAATTCTGCATGTGTCTGTTTTTTTTCTTCATATGCATTTTTAAACTCAAAACACACATCAGCGAATGAAGCCTGAGAAACAAAACAAAGAGCTGCTTTTTTTTAAAAAACCATGCTTATGTTCTATTTTCTGAATGAATGCATTTTAATAATTTGGTTATCAAAAGTTTTCTATGTAAATTATATATATTTGATAGATATATAGATCTACAATTAGTGGAGCATGGTTGAGGCTGCCCTGAAGTGGCTAAAGTTAGTCATCCTCTTCAGAAAGTGATCTTAGGTGAGGGGCAGCAGAAAAAAGATGTATCCTCAGTCGGTGATGACAGAGCAGGAGGATGGACAGACAGTACCAGACCGGTGGGGATGTCCGTGTTCAGATGTACAGAGAGGAGGGGGAGGGGACACACATGGTCCTCCAATCACCTGGCTGGCTTTGTTGGATTTTTTTTCAGTTTCTCCAGCCAAGCCACAGAACAATAAGGAACAGTGAGGAGCGGCAGAAGTCTGGAGAGCCACAAGCCCCATCCCGTATGTGTGATTGGGGCAGTCATAAGCCTCACCCCCTGTGATTTATCGCTTCAGGCTCTTCCAGTTCTTTCAAACCATGATTGTTTGGAGGGGCGGAGTGCCAAGCTGCAACCCAATAGCACATTGTACCAGAGCTGAACTAATTAGTCTGGGGGGTCAGAAGTTGGGTGTAGGGGATGTTAGTGCCTCGGGAAGTGTGGGTCTGTCAATATGGGGGTGTGGAGATATCCGCAGTTTGTGGTGAGGAGAGTCAGTCAGGGGTACATGGGGGTTCAGGTTTGAGTGGATGGGGGGGCAGTCTGGGGTACTTGGGGGTGGGAAAATTCAGTCTTGAGTGGATAGTCTTAGGTAGATGGGGGGGGTCAGTCTCGAGTGGATGGCGGTGGGGTCAGTCTACAGTGAATGGGGTGTGGGCATTCTGTTTTGACAGTCTTTTGACATCAATGGGACTAACTGCAGATGGATGCATGGCACACTGGTGTGTCCCGTGTCGGTAACCATGGCCCTCTATGGGCGTGAACTATGGCCCCTGTGAGCAAGGCCTAAGGTTCCCTGCACAAAGGACTGATGTTTTTACAGTAAATGATCTTCCTGGAAGAGAAAAAAAATAAACGGAATATGATCCGTACAGTGCATGTGTTTACTCAATATAGATGTGTACACATCCCTGCGAGTATATGTGTGGACAATTCCTTCACCTTCCAGGAGGTTCTTTTCTATGAAAATCTAATTCTAATTGATAATCTTGGTGACTTTTCTTGCATTTTTTTCATATGTACAAATATTCAGGAGTGCGCATGGAAAATACTGACCGGGATTGTTTTATTTTTTTCTGTACAGAATAGAATGCAGTGCTAGGAGATCTGCACAGAGAGTGAGAGTCTTTTCATATTAACAAGTGGGTAATCGCGCCCTTGTTAACATGATCCAAATCTGCAACTTCTCCCACCCCCTGCCCTTCTGCTACGATGATATTATCGAAAAGGGCAGGAGACCCTGGAGAGGACACACAGGCTCAATCCTGCCTTCGTCCTGACGAAGGTGGAAAGTGCAGGGGAGGCAGAGAGTAATAGGGGGCCTTGTGATTAGAGAGAAAAAGGGGGGGGTTGTGAATGCTAGGGGCACTGAAATATAAAGGGGACTGCACTGTAATCTGCACAGTTGTTGAGACATTTATGAAGTCCCTAAAGAATGGATTTACGAAGTCACTGACTGTTTTACCTTGATGCTAAGACAGTTACTTTATTTTGGAATATGAAAGGATATTTAACGATGAATTCCAGATATTAATATTTTATTACATGGCTACATTGGTCCAGCGTAGACCAGTATAACTACACATATACCATAGTTGGCGGATGCTCCTGGAAGCTGGAACTTCCACTAATCCAGTGACCTCCATTGCTTCCGGGTTCTGTGCTGAGCGGCTGCCCTGCTACATTCCAAACACAAGGCGGTTAGTCGCTTGAGATGACCACTATTTACAAAATGCTTTGTTTTCATTCAGAAAATGCAAAGTGTTTTCTGATTGGATGAGATGGAGTGCTGCTGAAGTTGTGCCTAGCAGCCAGTGACCTGTGTTCAGAATACAGCAAAGAATCCACTTGGTGTGGGACCCGTAAGCAAGCAGAGATCACTGGAGTAGCAGTGTCTACTTCAGCTTCCAGGGGCATCAGCTAGGTTTTATTGGTCCAAGCTGTACTAATGTAACTATGTATAAAATATCCATACCTGTTCTTCATCCCTAACATTTCAAATTCATTTATTGTTTTCTTGTCACTTTATGTTTTCATTTGTTATTGGTTATATATTGATATTTGAAGAGAAAGGGGTGCTTTTTAGTTCACACACATCTTTGTTTATTATAAACACCACCGTGGCATATTAGGTTTAGACATAATACATAGGTCGGGACTCCAGGATAGGGGGAAAAAATATCTAAAATCTACAAAGCAATCCAGCAACAAATTGTGCCTTCCTTGTAAAAATGTAATGAAAAATACATATCCCCTCTCTAGATCAATGCTGGAGGTGTCTCCTCCTCTTTTTTATTTATTTATTTATTTTTTTGTGGGAGCGGATACCTTTTCAGTAGTTCTGGTATGTTGAATATTTTCCCTCCCTGTTTTCACCTGTTGATCCTGCCAGTAACAAACTTCCTACATTGTGGTGCCTTACATTCTGGATGAAGGCGCAACAGAGCCACCTTTGGCCAGCAGCATTGTGTATCTCCCAAGTGGGGGGGGGGGGGAATGATAAAGGTTTTACATAAATAAAAAGCTGATCAGTGTAAGTCTAATTTACTATTGTAAATAGTTTGTTTCAGCCTTCAGTTACATCAGCAGGACAGCTTCTTCTGTTGAAAAACAGACTTTCTGGCAGGGTCTCCAGGTAAAAATAAAGAAAAGAAAGCCTAACAAAGAAAACTAATGATGCAATATAATAAATGTTTGATTTTAGGTTTTACAATCACAGATCATAACAAAATAATGTGTCGTTAAAGTAGAAACATATGTTATATGGTATGTTAGGTTTTTATTGCCATCTGTGTCTCTGGAAAAATTCACCATACTTCCTGTCCTGATTACAAAAGAGGTAAATATATGTTAACCATTAGTAATCTACTAATCAAAAAATGCAGTGCAAACTAATTAAGCTATATTTATTTTGAATTTATCAATACAACTTTTTGTATGCATTTTAATCTGGTAGATCAAAGAACATCTATTTCTAGTAATAGTAATGAATTGACCATGATTTCTACATTAAAATCAAGATAAGCTGTGTGTAAGAAACATGTCAAGATAAAAACATGGTGCAGTCTTTAATTTGTTCTCAGTTTCAGCTCTTGGACCCCTTTTCCTTTGCTGTTTTGTCCAAAATTGTGGTTGGACTTGCTACCCGGTTTTGTGAGTGCATGTACTCGACAAAAGATAAAAATCCATCTTTATCTAGATCATCTTCCTTTAGGACCTCATCGGTCATATCTGCATGTAAACAGAAACAACATATATATATATTATTATTATACAGTATTTATAAAGCGCCAATGGTTCGCTAAGCGCTGTACATTACAAAGGGGGACAGAACATGTGACAGAACAATACCAATACAATGCAAAACATGAGGGGATTGAGGGCCCTGCTCTTTCGAGTGTACAATCTAGGAGGGAGGGGATAGTGGTACAGGAGGAGATAGCTGTGGGGGATGGAGTGGTAGGAAGAGTGGAGGAGGTCGACAGGTTAGCAGGGGGTGGGGTAGGCTTCCCTGAAGAGATGGGTTTTCAGGTTGCGCCTAAAGGAGAGGAGAGTAGGTGATAATCTGATGGGTTGGGGCAGGGAGTTCCAGAGGATGGGTGACACCCTGGAGAAGTCCTGGAGGCGGGCATGGGAGGAGCAGACCAGGGAACTAGAGAGAAGGAGGTCTTGTGAGGAGAGGAGTGTGCGTGCTGGGTGGTATATATAACATATTCATATTAAAAAAAATGTGTGTGTTCAAGGTACAGTTATGATCTTAATTGAAACAACTAACATCTCTTTCAGACAGGTGTCAGAACTGACTGCCCTCTTAAAATTTCCATATTACAGTCAAGGGTGGATCACCTTTCAGTGGGCAGTGGAGCAGCGGCTGACAAACATTTGAGAGGTGCTACTGTCAGTTGAGAAGAAGATGTAATTTTTGGTATATCCTATTAATTGTTGATTAGAATAGCATATTGAAAGGGAGATGGCCATAGTCTGCCTCCATAGTTAGTCTGGCTGAAAAAAGACAACAGTCCATCCCATTCAACTATTAAAAAAAAAAAAAAAAAAAAAAGTTATAATCCTATATCCACAGTTGTTCCAGAGGAAGGCAAACCCCCCCCCCCCCCCCCCCCCCCCGCAAAGCATGATCCAATTTGCTTCTTTAGTGGGGGGAAATAAAAATTCTTTCCTGATCCTCTGAGAGGCAATTGGATATTCCCTAGATAAAC